TATATCCACTTACCACTTTCATTATACATTTTGTCCAATATCCAATTCACTACTTATGCATAAATAAATATACACTGATACATGTATATCTGTGAATGCTTCACTAAAAAAGCGTTATTGCGTGCTTGAATTGCATATGTATATATACGAGTGGGACGGAAAAGATAGTTCGTCCTAGAGAAAAATTACACACTTTATCGTCAATCACTCAACTCTTCTTCATTGTCAATCATTCCAACCCTATTCGTATTGTTGTTTTCGGCGTTCCAGATTTTAGTCAGTAGCTCAGTCAATCAGTAATTCATTCACTGATCTTCTGCTCAATGCCTATAACTAACGACGACGTGAAAAGAGGTGTAGCTTATGGTTGGTGTGTGTATGTATGTGTTTGCGTGTATGAAGATTCATTTCTCAAAATAATCATGCAAAACTGTTTGCTATTTTAAGAAAGTGATTTAAGGAAGTAAACTTAAATCAGATTTATTACGTCATATTAATCAGAAGAAAGACAAAGCCATTAAATGGCAAGAGACAGACAGAGAAAAAGAGGAAGGAAGATTTGCTTATCTATGCAGGTTTACCATACGTAGCCGAATTATTCCCCCATCAGACATGCTGACCTTATCCAACACTAGTCAAGATGTGGACAGTAAGATAGATCGGTAATGCTTATTTTGGTGGTAGCTAGATAGAACTTGTAAATGAGTGAAGTGTTATCAGAGACAGCTAAGCAACAACCTTTTAAAAATTACCTAATGAACAGCAGAGGTTGAGCCATTCGACCCTGTATAGCAATGGGGAATTACAAGCATCAAACAACAATTGATACCCGCTGCACAAACGGTGGCCCAGTGGCCTAGTGGATGATGTCTTCACTCGAGTGTCAGTGAGAGCAACATCACACACTGGGGTGCAGGTACACGCAGCTGGTGCGTCCTAAGAAGGACGAAGGGCGCATCCTGAATTCCACTGTTAATCATCACCGTGATTACCCAATGAACTTTTACATTTTAAATATCCGTAGACTGTTGTTTCGAACCAAGTCCAATTCTTTCCTACAACCTGGTATGCTATATCACACTAACAGAAAAAGTATATGAATCAGTTATGAGATGAAAGCTGATAAATATGTCAAGTTTGCGATTTCGATAGATGTATATCACTTGCTTCTGAGACATGACCACTAGATTAAATGACACAGTGGTGTACCGTAAACTCTGTCTATAATCTTCTTACCTGTCCCCAATGGCACTCGAACCTCATACTCATCGCTTCAAACGTCAAGTCGTTATCCTTTGGGCCACTGATGCACGATACCCACCTCTTGTATAAAGGGTAATTATGTAAGTGTATCAACAGATGCGTAATACATGTGAAAAGAAGGGAAATCTCGTGACCAATCAGTGTATCAAATCCATTTCTGAAGGAGGTCGGTTGCAACTCAAATAGCTCAGTGGTAACATCATTGGGGGAAATCATTTCCTATGAGTTTACAGATACGCCTTGCTGACGAGTGCCAATAACCACGAAACCTAGGTCCATAGCTTCTTGTAAATTGCCTCCAACCAACCAACATACAAAGTGAAATGTTGCTTGATAATACTTCAAATTAATAATGCTCACTTAATAATTAAGTAAAGCCAGAAAATTCACATTTCATATTGATTGGGTTTTATCGATCATAGTTTTTTTTCTATGCATAACCAGATTCCCAGTTGAAAAACTTATGACTATCATTATCATTATTAGTAATAGTAGCCTTTATGAGAAAGCATAACTTGCATGTTTAATATTGTGACATTATCACTGAAAACCGGAAGATAGGTAACGTCATGGAAACAGGCTACCAGTTTTAATGTATTATATTAGTGTTTATCAGCATATTGATACTTGTAATAACAATAATAATTGTTAGTTAAGGTCTTGCCCTCACTGTGAAATCGGCTTCCGTTTTTAACTTTATCCGCCCAGTCAATTCAGCGTATTTTCATTCACGCAGATAGTAGGAGTTAGTCAAGCAGTTAGTCCGTCAGTCAGTCAATCTATTCGTCCGTCCGTCCATCTATTCAATTCTCTTTTCATTTTCTTTTTTTCTGTGACCCTCCACCATGTAAATCCTCACCATCCCCATCATCATCATCGTCAATAAACCCGTGAAACCCTCCTTTTTAGAGAAGAAAACTTGTGAAGAGAAAAATTTTAATAATGTGAAAGTGATGGCGGAAATAAATACTATTTTAGAACATGAACTAGAGAGTAGTATACAATAGAAAATGTGAATCAAAAGGATATCTCTGTCTGATACACACGCACACATACACACACTTAGACAGACAGAAATGAAGTGAATGTACGCCGATTATTGAAAGTGAAGAAATTATGACTTTTTTGTGAATATTTACGCCTCCCTAAGCTGCTTTGAATTCTGTTTCTTCTGACTTTAGCGTGTAATACTGAAAATTTTTTATATCTTTATGGAAATTTCTGTTTTTATTTATTTAACAAAAAAAGTAGAATACCAAAGTTGGTCTGAGTTGCCTCTTCTTTCATTTTAAGGAAATGAAAATAAGTTTACCTGTAAAAACTTAATCACTTCAAAGTGTATCCACTGACTACAAGTTTCTAGAATAGGTGTGCATCATTCATGTGCCAAAAATATATCATTCAAGTTAATTTCATACTTGTAATTTCCTTTTGTTATAGTGGGCCGAACTGCTCAACCTGTGTTAGCAAATGGACTCCTATGTGGATATCTCGATATTGCCTGAATATTTACTATTATGATATACCTAGTTATGACTAGCAATAGAATCCAGGACGAGCGTTTCCCTCCGTGTAAGACTGATCAGCTGGTCGTACTTGCACCCTAGTGACTCAACATAGCAAAAAGAAACTACAAGTATCAAGCAACATCTGATACCTGTTGAATAAGATGTGGTCCTCATGCCCCAATGGCTTCAAAAATAACGCTCTGGTGTTTGAAATGGTGCGCGTTAGGTTTGAGTCTCAGTGGGAACAACACTCAGCGGAGTGCACGTACATGCAACTGACGAACCCCGAACAGGGCGAAACGCCTGTCGTGGATTCTGTTACTAGCCACCAAGAAGACTATAACAGCATTCAAGCTGTTGACAACTCCAGCTATCAAACAACTTGCACTATTTATCTTAGAAGAGAGGAGAAAAAGGATGAACTACTCCTGAAAAATATTGCTGTATAAATCCGTTTTCACAAAATTAAGCCCTTACAATGCACTTTCTTAATAAAAGTTACTTACTTACTTACTTACTTACTTACTTACTTGCTTACTTACTTACTTACTTACTTACTTACTTACTTACTTACTTACTTACTTACTTACTTACTTACTTACTTACTTACTTACTTACTTACTTACTTACTTACTTACTTACTTACTTACTTACTTACTTACTTACTTACTTACTTACTTACTTACTTACTTACTTACTTACTTACTTACTTACTTACTTACTTACTTACTTACTTACTTACTTACTTACTTACTTACTTACTTACTTACTTACTTACTTACTTACTTACTTACTTACTTACTTACTTACTTACTTACTTACTTACTTACTTACTTACTTACTTACTTACTTACTTACTTACTTACTTACTTACTTACTTACTTACTTACTTACTTACTTACTTACTTACTTACTTACTTACTTACTTACTTACTTACTTACTTACTTACTTACTTACTTACTTACTTACTTACTTACTTACTTACTTACTTACTTACTTACTTACTTACTTACTTACTTACTTACTTACTTACTTGTCACCAGTTTTCATGAGTAACTTACCTATCACCATTAAGAAGCATGGAACCTAAGATAAGGAATATTTCTTGTCATTACTGACTTGGTTGTGACCAGCAGTGGGATCCAGGACACGCATTTAGTCATATTTGGGACTCGTCAGCTGAATATACCTGCATCTCAGTGAGTGATATCGTTACCACTAGGACTCGAGCCTCGTACCCATCGCTTCAAACCCCAAAGTGTTATTCACTAGGCCGGTGAGACACGACAGCCACCTCTTGTACAATGAGTATTAGTTATCATTATTATTTGTTGATACTTGTATTTCTCCATTGTTATAACGGATCAAAATGATAACGATGGATAGCACTTCAGCTTTTGAAGTCATGGACAGGGTTTCGAGTCTCAGTGGGAAGACATCACTCACTGAGGTGGACGTGCATCTAGTTAACGAATTCCAAATGGAATGAAACACGCATAGTGGATTCCACTGCTAACCGCATACAGCTAAGTTACTGATAACAATAAATATTCTGGCAAAATCGAGACATCCTCATAGAAGTTTATATCACAACAGAGATTCATCTTTTCGACCCAGAATTACAACTATCAACTAACAAAAACAAGTTTTTTAATGAGTTGGAGCCTCAATAGGAGTATGAGTAGTCACTGGAAAACAGTCATACTCAGTTGGTAACTCCTCGATAAAATGAATTGCATGTCCTTTTATTTACTACTAGTCAAGTGTGAAATTTGAACCATTTTAGTTATTCATTATAACTTCGAAACAGATTGCAAACAAAAATAAGATTATGGTTACATTGATTGGTTACTGGAGAGTAGTCAATTTCCAGTTTTCCATTCCTAAATATTGATCGCAACTCTGCAGACCACTTTACGCTTCGGTCATAAAGGTAGGAGTCATAGTCGCGATGAATTTTGACGCTAGACAACTGAAGGAAATCTTTAGGAAGTTATGGATCTAATTAGTATCTGTGACTGTAGTACTGGATTAAATGAGTTCATATCGTTGAGTCTTTGTCAGTTCCCTCAAGGTTGCACATGCATCCCACTGACGTGTACCAAAAAGCTGGAAACCTATGTCCAGGGCTTGCCGCTGATTACCTGCAGCCACCTGACAAAATCCCCATCGTAAATCTTATTAAGAAATAATAAAAAAAGGATGTATAGTAAGTTTTTTCTGCTTACCATGGATTAGAGGGTCCGACTGAAACTTTGATTTTAGGCTATAAATATACCGGGAACAGAAATCTTTACACAGTTCATTGACTTTATGCAGTTCCAATAAATGTATGCGCAACACTTGTATCGCTTTTACAATCTATAAAAACAAACAAAAGTAAAGTTAGCCAATTCAAATAGAAGTCGAATGTTAAGATGCATCATTAGCTTCGTAGAAAGTTGAAACAACTTCTTTGCTTATGATGAGCAATTATGGTTGGTGATTCTATCCAAATTCAAATCTACTAGTGGAGTTGTAGAGAGATCGATACAATCAAAATCCAATTTAATAATTTCGCTAATTTCAGTGTGATTAGACAATACTCACCTTTAGAGAACAACTTACGTTGAATGTAACTCTGTTGGACTACGATTATTCATTGTTATCTCACAAAGAAATTCAACCTGATGTAAGTTTATGTATTCAGCATCAGTCCCATTTCCTTTATGAGCGTGTATGAAACTTCCAGATTGTCCGTGTTTATATAGGTCGACCAGAATTTGAGCGCACTACTCATTCCTTCAAAGTTATATGATTAAGCTAATGAGTAAGTAACATTATTCTAACGGTATTATACAATCGAATTTGTACAAAGAATATGTACAACGACATATAAAAGGGAATCGTATCAACACTAAAGATCACTTAACATTGACTGAATACAACTCATTTTACAAGTTCTGAATCCAAAAAAAATAGTAGTAGAATTAATATACCTTTAATTTGCTTTGTTTTATTGCCAAGAAGTAATCAGTAGCATATATGAGGATAACGCTAATCTGTTATCTCAAATAAGTGAATATACTTTAAGCATTAGAATTACTTCGATTATCGATGGACAATCACATTATCTGCTGATACAGAATTCTAGCATGGTGCAGAAACAGCTACTGTTTTCAGTTTTGCCTCAGTGATATTTCCTCTTGAATATACAGTATTTATCTGCACAAATTACCTGCCTTCTCAATGTTATAACTAGACTTTCCCAGAGAATTACAAAACTCCTGATATCACTTAAGGAATATGCTTCTTCCTTCCTGGTTTTTTGGTCGAATCTCTGTTGTATGTTCAATTGTATTGGGTACTGGTTAGCCGCAGACATATGTATCAATGTTCATGCTCCTACGAAGATAAAAAATGGATACCCACTTCTTCACACACCATGGTGTTATCCACTGGACTATCAAATCAAGATAGACATCTCCGATGAGTATCAGTAGTTTTCTTGACTTTTAACCTTCCATTTATCCACATAAGTGTCCTAAATTTGTCATTCTCCTTTAGTATGCTAGCTGTTTGTACAACTGATTCAACATCTCAAGGAGTATCTTTATCATGTTGTTTATTATTCAATGAATGAACCTTGTTTTCAATTACTTCATCCAATTAAAGAGTTACAACATTTTTTTTTAACTGTAAGTAATACTTGTTTATAAGCGAGTTTTCTTTTTCAAAAACAAATTCATTCACTTGAATCGATAATTACTTGTTTAAGTTTATTTCTATGTTCTTTTAACCGCACAAAAAGAAATCATAAAAACATTTTAATCATTATTATACATTGATGAATAATTTGTAATCAATTTATTAACAGTAAACATGCATCAAATATGCGTTAGATGAATATCACTTCTAGTGGTGTTATGCTTACTGGGATGAGTCAAATGATTGTATCGAAACTATTAAATTTTGACTAGTTTTTCAGAGAACTTCAGGTCTTGATAAGAGGTCTCTTAGGATTCCGTAGATCCATACTGGTAAATGTCACCACTGGAACGAATGAAAATTCTCATACTAAGTAATAGAACAAAGACGAAACAGCGAAGAGAATTTTCTTTTCAACTATTTTATCTACTAGAGCTGTACAATAGTATTGAAAATCGTTTGGAACAAGTAACAGTCCGTTGCCAATCAGTAGGAACACGTAACTGCCACAGTGTTCAAGAGGAAGATGGAAAGTTTCTAAATACGGAAGAAAATTTCTACTTTGGCTATGTTACGGCCAATGAAGGCAGGCGATATTTTTGAGCTGAGCATAGATGATGCGGTCGAAGGACTTCGAAAATTTAGGGCGGGGGGGAGGGCATTGTGTAAGTTACTTTGAAGAAACTACTACGAAGGGTCACATGTCCGAAGATAACAATGTCTTCAGGAATAGTAATGTTGGCATCTTTTTCCCTCTTTTCTGCACAACAAAGCAGAACGATGTTCCAAAACACACATACGAACTTAATACTGTGTGGGGCCAAAGTTGATGACACCGAGTTTCTATAACTGCTTAAATTCTCTAGTTGAACTAAGTAACAATGCCGTGCATATACAACTTATCTTGATCAACACTAGCTTCGAGAGGTGATTCCCGAAGTTCCAATGACAAGTCGTGACTAGTGGAGTCAACCAAATGGGAGATGAGGACAGTTATTCAACGACGACATTGGATGTAGTTCGTGCAATATTGAGAAATGACAGAAGTAGGAAATGTGGAGTATTGAATTGTGACTCAGTGGTTGAATGGTGCATTTGATGGTTGGTAGAGCAGGGTGATTGGTGTGCACTGGTGAGGAGTTTGGAGCTGGAGCAAAACAGGTATCCAGTGCTCCCAGGTTTCCAATGTTCCTGCAACTGGTGTCAGCCCGTGATGAATTCCAATCTAAAATCAATTTCAAAGTAAACAATTCCAACTGTATGGGTCAGATTATGAGATGATTTCACCTTTTTAATTTCCTGTTGAAATCAATCTGTACCTACAAAATCTAGCGTAATGATCAACTTTTTTAACCTTCAGGTTAATACATTTTGAAGGACAGGCGTGTAAAACTAACCTAGAACTTGCTTTTCAATAATTATTCTAAAGATCACTATGACGAGTTTATGCAGACAATGTATAATTATCACATCATCGATGAAAGGAAATAAACTGCTGAAAGACCTATGATTAATCTATCTAAAGGAGAAGTTTTTGCATTAAACCAGAACGTCACAGACGTGAAGATGATGTTTGAGGATGTAAAAAGATTTGTACTGTGATAAGACTTGGAAGATGGGCTTTCAAGTTATCTACTACTTATCCAACTAAAGTAGCTACAAAACCGAACAACTAACTTAGCATCAACTTAATTTCAATGACTACGATTTTTTCTCTTCAGCTGTCGAGTAAAATATCAGCATATATCCTTCACTAGACTGGAGTTTGGCTAGTGACATAGGTTGGTCATTACGTATTTCAACATCACAAAGAGTAATCCTGCTGATCGCTCACTGAGTTCGTGCGGAATCTTCTTCGTTCAGAACAACTGAGTTGAATTGGTTCTACAACCAACAGTCTGGTGGTATGAAAATCAGATTTTATATGCGTATCGTAGGAATTTCATCATGGATAACGGTTCTAATTGCATTGATTATGTAAGGTTGAGAAATGAAATTACCTCTTCTATTTTAATCTATTCAGAGGCTGACTTTATATAACCGTAGAAGTAACGGTATCACATAATTAAAATTCGATATTATTCAGATTAGTGCATACGTTAAACAAAGGTGGATTAATGCTAACGGTAAACACCTACTTGAATGAGAAAGCATGAATCCTAATGATCAGAAAAACTATGAACAGAAGCTTAACAGTAAGTCTACGCGTATTTGTCTAGTGCTATTGTATTTAACACTACAGTAGTAGTCCGATCCATGGGTTAAAAATTCAATCCAACACCTCTGAGGATCTACCTTAACTGATATTTGGTGGTAAAAGTAAATGCTTATATGCCTTTTGAAGCATTGTTCTAGTAATTTGTGGTGAAATAGTGTAACAGTGGGATTTTCCTAGTCAACTTATCAGTCATTCTCAGAACATGCATCCTGTTCAATCTGTTAATTCCGTGCCTAGCAACATATGTGCCAAGCACTCAACTTCAAATCAACTTGGTTACGAGTGAATCGATAACCAGTTTCATGTTGTCTGGTTCTAATCATTGACCGAATTTATCAGTCATTTTACAATGAGGTAAACCAGCTAGAAGACTCAGCATTGTAGTGTACTCTAATTGGTGTTGAATAGTTGGAGGTAGTCGGTGAGAAACAATACACCTAGATTTCATATTTGTTGGCACTCATCAGGAAGACACACCTGCTACCTTGAGGGAATGAATGTCCCTCAAAAGATCCAAACCGGTGGCAATCAACGCTACAGTGAGACATGTTGCGTTTGAGGTATTGAGGTCAAATTAACATCTTTAATCTTAATCAGTAAAACAAATTCTTCTCAAAATAATTAAATTCTTTGAATTTCATTAAAAGTATCCTGTAGATTACTTCATGTGTATAAAATGGGTTGATTTTCTATAGAGATCACATGAAAATTCGTGACTGAATTTCACATGTATCTGTGTACTTTGCAAACACTTGAGCTGATTCGTCGGTGAACGAAAGTTCAGTTTCCCAGTCTCATAAATTTTCATTTTAGGTACCAAACAGTCATTCGTAAATATTTTTAAAACCTCATTCTTGACATTAAATACGAGTCAGCATACTATCCCCTTTCTTCACGAATAAATCTATTCTTAGTAAATATTTGTGGTTTGAATTCTGTTACGACTCAGATTTTCATTTCACCTTCAATCATCACCTAGTATCAATAATAAATCCACAAAGCCACGGCTATCTCAGATAGTCATAGTGAAAATTTTTATGTAGTAGAGATGTAGGTGGATGTTGATCTGGCATCCGCATAGGAACCTATCTGTCGACGGAGGTCGAGTATTTTGATCCTGTATAGTAATGGGAAATGACAAGTATCAACGAACAACAACCGATACTCGTCGCACATTAGGTGGCTGTCGTACCTTAGTGGCCTAGTGAATTACGCCTTGACGTTTGAAGCGAGGGGTATCCGGGTTCGAGTCTCAGTGAGAATAACATCGCTCACTGTAGTGTATGTGCACCCAGAAGGTGAGTTCCGCAAAGGACGAAAAGCGCGTCCTAGATTCCACTGTTAATCAACAAGTAGACTGATACATAATGTACATCCAGGCGGTGGTGAGGCATCCGCATAGGAGCACATCTGCCAACAAAGATCAAGCAGTTTGACCCTGCATAACAAGCAGCAAATGATAAATATCAGTGAGTGTTGACCTACTTTGCCGAATGCAAATAAAGTTGAAATGAGGAGCCTTAGTTACGTAAGTGTTTTAAATTATGTTATAATTACACACTGATTGGTTTTTGGTATTTTCATTAACGTTTATCTCTTTTATCACTCTCCTATCATGTACTTTTGTCTATGTTTTAATGTCATTCTTTTCCTCTTCACGTTTTCTGTGTGAAGTGAGACATTTTGCAGTAATACATTAGTGTGTCAACTTGAATGCTGATCCCTCTTTTACTTTATCTTAGGAAAAAAATCGATTTCATTTTATCCAGTCTTGAGTGCAGAATGTGATCAACTACCTAAGAGATTGACCATTGCAGCACACCTCAATAGACTTGACAATATGGAGTTGTCTCTCATCCAGTGATCAATACACTTCTACAAGAAGTCAATCGTGGCTCGGACAGATCATTGGTAGCGTCTCTAACTGCAGCATTTGGAGACGCGATTTCGACCTATTAGGGGTCATCGGTAACACTTTGTATTAGCATCTGTGTAAATATGTCTTGAAGATGACACTTAGACGAGAGTTGAGGGTTTGGCTATTAGAAAGTGAGAAACTCTATCCATCGGACTCTGTACAATGACTAATTTTAATTCATACTCCAAACTCCAAATATTTGCCATTGTGTAAAGGATCATCATCTTGAAAGTTTAAAATTCTGACCCAGTGACCAAATGTATTTTAAGGTTAATAGGGAGTCATATAGTAGGATGAAACATCTGTCCAGTGCTCCTAGGTTTGTAATACTTCTCCAGCTGATGTCACTCTTTGGTGAATACTACCTAAATGATCAAGGTTTCTAGTCACATGCGAGTTAGAATGGAAGTTAAAAATGAAGAGATACAATGGATATCCATTTTCATATGTGTAATTTTTAATTGTTAAATAGTTTGAAAGTTGTGGTGAATATTTATAGGTCAGTTGGATAGACTTAGTGATGTTGCATTATCACAGTCTGATGATTTAGTCAAGAAGCTTTCATTGTCTTTCAAAACAATATCATAAGCACTAATTTCTTCGTGGATGGATTAGTAATTCCTTCTCATAAGGAGGTATTATTGCTACTAATAGTTTCTTCTAGTTGTTTTGTCATTGACTGCACAGGTAAGGATAAGTTCAGCTCTCAAAGTCGGAGGAAATAAATCAGCCGATATAAAGTTGACACTTGAAGGAGTTTTAATTAGAATATTTACATTTTTGATATTCTAAGGTGTTCTGAAACGTAATATATTCCTTAGAATTTTGTTGTACAAGTTTATTTGATTTCTAATGATAAGTAAGTTGAAAATTTTAATCCCTTCCCCATAGTCGAAATAAAATTGTTTTTCAATAGGTTCATAGAATTTACCACCATGCCTAATAGTCTTGTAATGAGCTTATTTATTTTTCATTAATCAGAATAACTCTGAAAGAGAAAGACAGTATGGAAATAACTCAATTTGATTAACCAGACATTTCAGATAACGTTTGAGATATTTTGATTTACTATTCCAATGGACGTAAGTTGAAGAAGTAAGTACATAAAGATCTAATTAGCAGTTATGATTTCCAGTTTCGATTGAATACTTCATCAACAGTAGATAAACTATATCAAATTTAAATCATTACATAAACTGCTGACATTTAATCCAATTTTCAACGTGAACATAGATGTCATTCAGTATGACTTGACTATTTGCAGTTATTTCATCATTCTGAACAGTAAGAAGAAGAAAGCGAAACCTCCTTAAATAATTCAATTTTATGAACAAATCTCATATGGAATGAACATCAACTAAGAAGTCATTATCTACTCTCGACTGATTTACACCTCGAGAATGTAATGCCAATGAAAAAAAGATAAACCAATCAATGTAAACAATTCAACTTACCATTTCATCCAATTCTGAATTACTACTTAAAAACTGGCATTTCTTTTCATCATTAAAAGCACAACTAGGTTTTGAAATAATATCATTATCATTTACTAGATAATCCAATTTATTTTTACTGTTATTATTATTGGTGGTCAGTTTGCTACATTCAACAGACTTTTCACATCGAATTTGTGAACATGTATCATTATTCAATTTTGTATGTGATATAAAGTGCTCATTGTTATTTCTTAAATGTGCTACTGAATTCGTTTTATGAGTAGTATTAGTAGGTAATACTTTATTATCTATAATTGCCGTTGCGGTAGTATTCGTTGTCATAGTAGTAGTAGTCGTCGTCGTAGCAGTAACAGCAGCAATAACATCAATGGTATTACTGATCATATCTTCTGTACTACGACATTTTTCATTGACCTTGTTTACTTTTTCCCGGTGAATGTTTAATTTTAATGAATTCAACTTTAAGTCATCACCTTCTTCTTCCTGTTGTTGCTGAGAATCCATTCGACGTTGAATGTATGCAGTTAATTCAGTGTTGAAGGTATCCAGCGGAGGTGGAGAATCTGGCCTGGCTGTAGCCAGTTCACACTGTTGTAATAACACGCCAATAGGGGATAAAGAGGATGACTGGGGAAAGAAAACAAAGAACTATGAAAGATTAACATTGCAATAAATATTTCATCTATTAAACAGTGTCCCATAAAGATATCCAACTATCTTTTAAAGTATACTACAATGATAAATAATGCCATAGAGTAACTCACCTGAGGAAGAATTTTAATCAGTGACATTTTAAATATTCATGGTATAGCCTAAGATAGTCAGTCATCTAGTGGTTTTTGCGAATAGTTCACGAAAAATACTCTTTTGTCACTCTTCATTATACTATCGAATAACTTATCTATTTGTATTCAGTAAGCTAATTTGCTAAAGTGTGACGTCAACAGTTAGGTAAGTAATATAGCGTGCAATCAGATTGAGCAGGTCCTCATAAGAAGCCCTAAATCCATGAAGCCTTTCACCTCCAATCGTGTTGCTCCAAAGTTTCGAGAGAAAGCAGATGAACCTAGGTGTAAATACCAGATGGGTTGAAGAGGCCTAGAAATAATCAAGGCAAGTGTATATATATATATATATATATATATATATATATATATATATATATATATATATATATATATACAGTCAAATGTTATCAAGATAATGGTCAGGTTTGCAAACGGAAGTATTTTTTGATTGAATTTAGTTTATGGGGATTGAGTGGTTGTTCAAGTTTGTATCCATCATGGACCGACATCATTCGGAGAACCGCCTGAAGCTCAGAAGTACTGGTCAGCTCTTTCGTCTTGCCACGGGACTCCTCGGCAGTGCACACCCATGACCCCACCAAGGATAGAACCCGGGACCTTCATGTTCTGTGACCAGAATGTTACCATTGATCCACTGGGTCCTCAAGGCCGCAGGTCTGCCCCACCGGTCACGACTTCTCATTGGAACTTCAGGAATGATCTCTCAAAACTAAACACCAATGAACACTAGATCAACTGAATTTGAGGGTTTGTGGGGATTTAGGGATATTTCAGCCCATGATGAATACCAACTGAAAGTATTTTTCGTCTTTAATTTGCTATAGGTGGATAATTTGTAGCGACCACGTCTACTTCATGTATTACTAATGACCACAACATTAAAATTCTTATGGGATTGTGCATTTCGTCTTAGATATTTAGGATCAGTATTTCAATTCTTGAACTTATTTTCGAAATCCGCTAATGAACACTGTCAAGTATAGTTGTCTTGTGCCAAAATGATATTCCACATGGAGATGATGTGACTCATTGGTCTAAGCAATGAACATTCTTGTAATTGGTTAGCAATTGAATTCTCATTCCACTTACTTCATCCTATGTAACGGTCTGGTATCAAAAGTTGTCACACATTAAGTATCGCTCATATTTCAGTGGACAGACATGTAATAGGTTGAGTTGTACCAACTTCTTATCAAAAACAGTTTTCAGTAGCATACTCAAATTAATTTCCATCCATGCATAGAACATGGCTGATGTAGTAGGTTAGTATCTCCAAATTCATTTTCATTTATTCCATCAATTACTGATCAACAATGTTTTTGGATTCTAACAGATTATGCCCATCTCAAATCAACTGACTGTAAATGCTTCTTTCAAACACAGAGTTCAGGCCTACTAATTTATATCACTGTATGATAAAAATCAATTGGATGTATGTCAGAGAAATGACTGTGAAATAGTTCTGGGTTATTATCAAAAGTGAACTTTTCTGTACTGGCATGTGGGGAGTAGCCCTCTACGAATGTTTCTAATCTTCAATAAATTATAGGATGATCAGTTTGCAAACGATTTACAAATTACACGTTTCACGTTGATGTTTCTCACAGCTGAGTATGTTTTCAACTGCCTGACTGTGATATCAACAGGGAAACCACCCCACAGTCAAGATTACAAGATATGGTCTCTGTCATAAACTAACGAAGTATACTGCTGTTTAACTTGAGTAGTTAGAAACTAATCAGACTGATCTGGTAGATCTCGCCAGCCACTCCGTTCAAATCCGCTGCCCAGATTCAGGGGATCTAAACGTATTCAGTTCTATGGGTTGAATTTTTTCGGGTACGTCGCTGATGAATTCGGCCCCAAACGACTGACGTAGCTGTCCCGTATTCTTAAGATCAGTCTGATCTGACTGGTGAAACTTACTTGAGTGGTTTCTAACTACTTAGGTTGTTCAGTAGTAAATTTCTTCGATGACTTGCATTGATGGCTCCGTCTTCGTGTATGCGAAGCAGTGAATATCAGCATATTCATGATGGAACACACTTCTAACAATACACAATTAGTTACAGTTTTGTTATTTACTTTTATTCTATCTGAATCCAACAGTTCTTCGGGATTTCCTGTATGGCGACTTTCATTGTTTAGATAAGACTGAAATATGCCTATTTGACCTCCTGTACATTTCCCCATATATTTATGTAATACTGCTTTGTTGGCGATACTTTACATTCGATAAGTGTCTACCTCCTGAAACTAAAACTGTTTTGTTTTATAGCTGAAGTAGGAGAAGAAGCTTTTCGTACTGAATTACTGAGAAGAAATATCGGTTGAGTAAAGCAGAATACTACTTTGAGTATGGTGACCTCATCATTCGAAGAATTCATGGTTTATCGAAATCTGACACCCATAGTCAGTAGTAGATCAAATTACTATCAGTGGTCTCTATATTTGCAGTAAAATATTCTTCCAACTTAGTTAAACCATCTAATTGAAATCAAATTTCTGTTATCAAATAATTAACGATAAAACGCAGAACAAAGTTTTCATAATGCATTTGGGTTGGTGACTCAAACGTCTCTGATCTCAACCTTATTATTATTATTAGTAGTAGTAGTAGTAGTATTTTCCCCTTGGGTTCCTAGTGGGACAAACGGCTTCAGTAGCATATCTCCACTGCACTCTGATCTCGGCAGTCTTTTCAACCTGACGCCACGATTGCCCGTAAGCTTTCATCTCTTCCTCACACCATCTCCTCCATGTCACTGTCATCTCGGACGCCCAAATCATCGTTTCCCTTTTGGATTCTACTCGAGCGCCTGGCCTGACCTGATGCGTGATGTCCCCAGTCGGCCTTCTCAGTGTATGCCCAATCCAATCCACCTCCTTTTTCTTCTGCATATTTGTTGCGTAATAGGTTCTTGGTTAGTTCGTCCCAGCAGTTCCTTGTTGCTTATCCTTTCTGACAGCCCATCTGATCTTCAGTATCGAGCGTAGGCAGTTGTTGATGAATATCTGCAGTTTGTTGGAAGTGCTTTTCTTGGCACGCCAAGTTTCTCAACCATCACATAGAAGCACTGACTTGACATTGATGTTGAAAATCCGAATCTTGTTCTTTAGGCTGAGTGCAGAAGATCTCCACACTGATTTCAGCCTAATGAACGCCTGTCTTGCTTTCCCGATCCTGGTTGCTTTGACGTCCTCGTATGTGCCTGTGCCGCCTGTAGTTGCAACGATGCTGCCTAGGTAGGCGAAAGAGCCAACCTCATTTAGGTTTCTCTCGTTCATGGTGACTGGAGCTTCTTGTTGTTGTTGTTGGTGATGTTGGATAGGTATCATCATCACCTCTGTCTTTTAAAGTGACGGGGCACCCAAGTTTGACCCCAGGCCTTTTGGCCTGCAGTCGACAGCTCTACCACTGAGCTGTATCTCAACCTTACCATGATGCAAATATTTTTTCGACTGCAGTCATCGAATCCAACCAGGTGGTTATTGAAAGTGTACTGACTGACCCCAAATATTTGAAGTAGTCTATGTTATACAGCCATGAATTTTTTAATTAAGATCCAGAATATGCAATAACTGTAAATGGGCGGTTAGAAAAATGAAACTCCAAATAAGCTGCAACACGAATTTCAAACCAGAATGTCCAATCAATTGAAAATGTAATGGAGCGAAATTTGATTCTAACTTGAGGATTTATACAGTAAAAATGGTAATGAACTAACCTCATAATCAATTTTTTATCCGCTTCCAATTCGGGATCATTTTGTTGCAGTTGTAGTGTTGTAACAATTGGAAAACTGGACAGGTTAACAGAAAAAAAGGGTGAAAAAAACTTTTTTATCATCAGTGGTCAATATAATTACACAGTTAGATAAAGAAGACGTCCTATTGAGTTATGAAGAGATGACAAGAGAATTCAACGACAAAAGATTTTCCTTGCCGATAATGCTATTTATTAAAACAGTGCTGTCGTATTTATATTCCAGGTCGGTATTCATCATGGACTGACATACGTTGGAGAAACAGTGGAAACCTGGAAGCACTAGAGGACTGTTTCGTCCTAGCGCAGGACTCCTCAGCAGTGGATGCTGATGATCCCACCAAAGGTAGGACACAGAACCTTCAGGTTCCGTGGCCATCACGTTACCGCTGAGCAGCTGGTTCAGAATCCAAGGACCCATATTTCCTACTTCCGTCAGTTGGGAGAAAATAACGATAAATGGCAAGTTGAGCTTTTAATAAGACTAGAAGACAACGCGAAAATGTGGTTGTATGTGCAGGAACAGAAGAGTTTTCTTTGCCAAAATAGTTTTTCTTTCATCTTGATAAATAAAGTTCATACAGTTCTGAGAGAAGATATTTTTCAAAATGGTTATTGACAAAATCAAATCAAGTACATAGTAGTAATTGATTGATAAAGCGTTTTGAAAGGTATTTACCAATTCAGTAGTTATTCTGATTGGTAATATTCAAACTCTTTCCTTATGAACAGCTTGTCTGTCAATTCAAATTATAGGAAACACAGTGGATCAACGTGGAATTTCGAAGTTCGAAACAGTACAAATGTCTGTAGCCTCTTACCTTGTGTGTTTAGAAAATCAAGTATTAAAACTCATATTTGAGTTTCAGATGACGTTTTAAGGTGTTCAGACTAAACTAAACATTGCCATTTTTACCAATTGATGTGTGACCTTGATACTATTATACATTGGTACTTGTAATTCTCCGTTGTGATGCTTCGAACGTCAATGCATTATTCACTAAGCCATTGATCCACGGTAGCCTCGTCTTGCACAACGGATATTGGTTATTATTATTTATTGATATACTTATAGTTCTCCGTTTTTACTATTATATGCCTTAAATTAGTGATTTGTAGGTCGATGGTTAGTTCTACATTTGACTGAATATTAGTTTGGTGTCACCCACGACTACAATACAGTAACGTTTTACTTGGCTTTATAGCTCCAATTCCGATACACTATGTAAGATGCGATGGAGTGAGTAAAAACGAGTGTAACACATTGTAAAGCAGTTAACAAATACTTCTATGGAAGTTTGAGAAATGGGGGATCATCTTTTAATCCATTCGTGCATTGATGCTTGCTAATACAACAAGGTAACTTCAGGTAATAGTCAGGTCAACAGTCAGCAACCCTCTGTCAATCAGTTAATTTTCATTTTACCGACATCTTATTGTGTAATCTGCTTAGTGGTCGTTCGCTAGCAGTATAATTCAGGTTTCAAGTCTCGTCCTGTCTAGGACTCGTCATTTATATGTACCTGTTTCCCGATGAATGATTTGTTCTAGCTGAGGCTGCAACCCAGAATTCATCTCTTCGAACACCTCAAGAGGTTAATATCGTGACGCAATACCTGAATGGATAGCGCTCTAGCGTTAGAAGAGGTGGGTGCTGGATTTGAGTGTCAAATGGAACACCACCACTAACTGGGATGCATATACATTCTACTAATGAGTTATACATAAGATGGGATGCATGTCCTCGATCCCACTGCTAGCAACCACCAAGCAATCCATATCAAAGTGAAAAGTAAAACAACATCGAGACATCTGTTGAAAAAGCCTGTATTCCAACAGATAGCCATCATTTCCGTCCGGCATAGCAATCGACGGGAAATCATACGCATCAGTTAGTGATACTTTAATATCTTTCTTACAAATACCTGTGATAATTAAGTATGTGATCAAATTGTTCAGAATGTGTTGCACAGATACATGACATGACCTTGGAAAATTAAGTCTTCTAACTGTTTTTTCTTCTATATTCAGAAAATGCTGAGAAAGTGAGTGCATTAAGGTGTATAAGGGAATTTAGAAATTCATTCAGAGGTTACTTTATCCATTTTCACCAAAGCTTGTGATCAAACTTCTTGAGATGGGTGTGATATAACAGACTGCTTTTTTATGCTATGGGGGATAATGACTGAAACTGATTGAAGACCTGGGTCACAGTAGAGCTTCAAAACAGTGACTTCCAGGTAACTTGTCCGGCACTCTACCGAGTGAACTATCAAATCTTAAGTTTTCTTTGTTTCTTAAACGAACCATTCATTTACAGTGTATCAGTCAGTCATCAAGGCTACAGTTGTAAATAAATAATCATTTGAAAAACATGAGTTGTAAGGTGCCCTTTTTCAGTTATAAATTTCATTATATTAATTTATGGGCATAAATGAAAACAATTAGGAGGAAAATGGAATGCAGTTATATCAGTGATGAGGATGATGCTTTATGGATACGGACTGTTTCAAGACTGAACATCAGTATTCATCCGCGGCATTGTAATGTTCAGTGAAGTGAATGATATATAAGGATTTCAACCAGTGATATCACTTGTGTACCTCAATCTTGACTCATTCATGAAGAAACATGGGTTTTTGAATTCAGTCTTATCAAAAATGAAAACTTTACACATTGATACATTACAAACTATAGTGCTTGAATAATCTCATCAGAGATTCTTCAACTGATCTAGGTCTTCAAGTCCACGATTAGGACAGTATTTTATTCTGGCTTGAGGTTTGTGGAGGTTTATTTATTTAAAGGTAGTCTTCATCACAGAGTGGCATCAGTTGAGGGAACCACTAAAAAACTAGTAGCACTGCAAAACGGTCTTGTCCTAACATGGGATTCCTCAGCAGTACATAACCACTTCCCCACTAGGAACCGAACTCAGGACCTTCAATTCTCATGAAAAGCATGCTGCCAAAAGGATATCCCAAAGTCCTAATGAGAAGTTGTGACCAGTAGGACAAACCAGATAGGATGTAAAGTGGATGCCAATTAATGACTTTGGTGGATAGTCGCGCCACATAATAAACCGACAGAAGCGGGAAACTGTGAACCGCTGAATTCTCACTCAGTGGCTGAATGGCTAACTTCCCGCTGAGAAACGTGAAGGTCCTGAATTTGATCTCTGTCGGGGCCATGGGTGCACACTATTGTGAAGTATAGTACCAGGAAGAAACGACTGTTCAGTTTACCTGGGCTTTCAATGGTTTTTTAAATGACATCAGGCCGGGATGAATACTACCTTGAGATAGTTTATTCATTATGACCTGCACTTAGATAATAACAGCTCATTTTATTATATCTGCCTAAATGACTCTAAAAGCCACCCTAACCCAACCACTGAAATAACCATTCAAGTTTCTCGATTTCTGTAAAAAGACATTTCCTCCATAAAATAAATAGACCTGATTGGCCATTTAGACAGCTGTCAGGATGGCCTTTCAGGTCTCTAAGTTTCTTAAACACGGCTGTAACTTATTGAGTTAGGCGAGCAGCTTTTATCCAGTTACTCACTAATTCCTTTCTCCGTCATATTAAGACGTCCAATCTTTGTGAACTGGCTGTAATTCATCATCTGGTTCACTATTGTGTATATGACTGCTTGCTTGAGTTATTTTAACCGATCCAAATAAATATATTGTGCTAATTTTCTTTTCTATTCTTACGTTCAAAGCATCTACATCTACTCCATACACCTAATTTTTATATCGTTGTAGAGTAATACTCTAAGTTTAAATAACTCAAGTTATCAACAAAAGGTGTATTTTTCTTCATACACACCTTTTAATTGAACATTGATTCAAATTTCAGGTTTTTATCTAGCCAATAACCAAAATTATCTGTTCATTATTTTCAGTATTACAATATGTGCTTCCAGTTTACCTTTTTATGTGCAGAAACCACCAAAGAATTTGATAAATAGTGTCACTTATTTCTTGGTCTTCTCTTCTTTATCTAGCTTCGTTTAATTTATACAAATAAGGTATAGTACACGGACTATTTATATACACAAGGTGGATCTGTTGCTATGTGTGTTATTCAGGTAGAATTTATAAGGTATAGAAAGTAACTGTGAAAACTCATTACTTTAAAGTATTTCTGATTATACATTGATGTAAGTTAGAAAATCATTGAAAACCTGAGAGTACTGGGTAGCTGTATGGTCCTCTGCCCGAGGTTCCTCTACGCTGAGGACATAAGACCATACGGGAGATTGTGCTTAGGACCATCAAGCTTCAACTACTAAGATGAAATTCAGTAGTCTACGTTTTCCTACTGAGGTCACTTCACAAAATAGTACGTTCATCATTTCTTATCATCCGTAGGTATATGTGCTCACTACCGACTTATCTGAGTAGGCATTTTATGATTTCTAATTAGACGTCCTTGAAATCCACCTGAAAACAAGTCACTAATGCGTACTGATAGTCAGGTGTGACTTTAAAGGCCACCCTAACAACTGCTGAGATAATCAATCAGGCTTCAGTATTTCACCTGGAAAAGTACTTTTCCATAAGATAAAGGAATGCAATTTGCTTTCTCATCAGTTGCTAGGGCTGCCTTTAAAGTCATCCGATAGTCAGTGAGAAATTATTAAGCGCAGAGTTGTGTTCTTCATGAATTAACGTCAATCGGAGAACCACTGAAAACCTCTGACCGCTTAGTGAAACAGCTGTCCAGTGCCCTCAGGTTTTCTACAGTTCACTCATTCACGTTTTCTGTGTAGGCAGGTTCAAGCTTCCCGGTGTGGGTGGGTTATGCAACCAGGATAGATAGCTGGAAGGTTTCAGGGGTATGACTCAGAAGTGATCTCAGTGGTATGGGTCCATACATGACTTATCTTCATTTCAATAGTATTTCCACACATCCGTTTTCCTTCATCTATAACTTCCCAAACTATCAGTGTTATTGTTATTGCTGACGAGTCCCAAGTAGGACGAAATGCGCATCCTAGATTCCACTGCTAGCCACTGCCCATCATTA